CAGTCCCAGAAACAGGCCGATGAGGCGCGTCGACGGCGGGCGCGGCGCGCAGAGGCTGATCTCTCGTGGAGGTCTGCCGCGCGCGCGCCGTCGAGTGCGAGGAACTCGTCCGCGATGGCCGATGGACGCGCTGGCGGGGCGCGGGCCGCGGAGGTCGCCCGCCTGAGCGGCGTCGAAGTCCTCGGGTCGCTCCAAGAGGCCAGCCGCCGGCTCGCTGCTCGTCGGCTTGAACCTCAGCGCGCGGAAGGCGAAATCGGCGAGTTGGTTGGGCACCTGGCACTTCGCCGCCTCTCGCCATCGCCCCTCTCGGCCGCGGGCGCGTTCGCCTGCTGCCGAGCTCGTGAAGTAGGTCGCCCTGCTGCGCTGCGCCCGAAGGGCTGGCGTCGCCCAACTAGGCCATGGCCGCCTTTTCCAGGTGCGCGGGCTTGCCGAGGCTGCGCGCGAGAGACGCGACGTCCGCGCGTCGCTCGCGCCCTGCGAAGGTAGGCGCATTCAGCTGCAGCCGCGCCCTGCGCCCCGCCCCCAGGGCCCCAGCGGGCGTCTGGCTTTTGCCCCGCTTCTTCGCGCCCTCCTTGTCGGAGTCGCTCCCAGCTGGGGCGCGTTGAGATGCGTCTCGTCCCCGACCTCGCGCGCTGGCGCCAGGGTGACCTCGGGGCGGTCGCCCGCCCCGGGGGTCGCGCGGCGCCCCGTCCTTCCTTCTCCGGGGGCCTCCAGTCGGCCCCCCCGGCGGCGCTCCAGCGCGGCCCCTGCCCCGACGGGGTCGCGCGAGGCCCCGCCAACGCCCGCCCCGCCAGGGGGCGCTGCGCCTGACGCTGCAGACGGAGGCAGCGGCGGGCGCGGCCCTGGCCCCGCGCCGCCGCCGTCGCCGTCGCGGCGCCAGCGCCGTTCGCCCCCCCTGCCCGGCGGCGCCGGCAGAACCCGTTCGCCCTTCGGGGCGCCCTGGATCGGCGGCGCCTCCGCGGGGGGGCCCGACGGGAGGGCATCGCCCCGCGCGTCTGCCCCGCGAGCTTGCCCTGCACTCGCGGCGCGGGCCCCCTTCGCGAGGCAGAGCAAGCGCGCGAGGGGGGCGGCAATTCGTCGGGCCACAACACGGCCACGTTGGAGCTGTACCTGAAGCAAAAATTGTCGCCGCCCGGCGTCTGCGCGGTGGGGCCCGCGTCTTGGTCGGATGCCCGGCCGCCTCCTGTGCGCGCCCGGGCAGCCCCTGCGCGCCTGCCCTGGCGGGCTGAGCCCCCGCTGCCGCGGCTTCTGCGGCGGCTGCTGATGCCAGTGGCGGGCTTCCGGGCAGGCGATGGACATCGGCTTCTTGCAGTTGCCCCCATTGCCGCTGAAACGCCCATCGCCCCCCGGAGCGCCGGGTGAAACTGCGCGCGCTCTTGCCGCGCCAGCTGCGGGGCCATCTTGCGATTATGATGCTCGCGCTGCAACGTCTGGTTCCGCGGCGGGCGCGCGGCCGCGTCGCCCCGCGCGCGCCGCCGGGGCCCCAGGCGCGCCCCCCGCAACGTGCAGCGCAGGTGCCCTTGGTTCAGCCGTTGGTCCCCGCCTTGCAGCCACCGCCTGTTCGCGTGGAACTGACCGAGCATGATCGCGCCTGTGCCGAGCGCTTCGCCTGTGCCGATCGCGCATGGAGCACGATGCGCATCCGCAGCGCTTCCGTGCCCTGCGGGGGCCCGACCTCGACGGTCGCGGCGCCCCCTGCGCCCGCCACCTCCCGCGCGAAGAAATTCGCCCTCGGCGCCAGCCAATTCGCCAGATCCGGGGCGGCCGCTGACACGCCCAGCGCCGCGTCGGCCACCCCCGAACGCGGCGCGCCCACGAACTGCTGCATGAGCTTGACCACAAAGGCGCGGCACGTCCTCGCGTTGGCGCCGCCCCCATCGGGCGGCCACCTGCCCGGACAGTCGCGCTCGCTCCATGGCCCCCCCATCGCAGCCGTGACCGAGGGGATTGTCGCCCGCTCCGAACGCTCTGACAGAAGCCCACGACCTCCTCGGGGATGACGAGTTCGACATTGTCCCCTGTGCGCGCCGCTGGCTTCAACGTCCTCCGGGGCGCATCTTGTCCCGCTGCCGATGCCTCGGCGTGTCCAGCAGGCTTGAGGACCGCCGCCTGCCCCCCGCCGTCGCACCTCGACAGGGAGTCATTCCACTCGAAATTTGCGATCTCCTGCCGCGGTCGTCAGCCCCCTGCCCACGCCGGGGAAGGTCTCCACGTTCGCGACGACCTGCTGCGCCTGTGGTCGAACAGAGAGTCTGCCGTTCGGATCGACACGTGTATCCCGTTCATTCCACGGCAAGGCCCGCACGTATTGGTTGGGCACCGACGGCCCACGCGACTCGGCCGCCCTGGTATGCGCGTAATCGATTAAGTGCACAATTGTCGCGGACCACGGGTGACCCCGCGCGCGCGCAAGTGCCTCCTGCGCATCGCACTCATTGCCTGCGCGCGCGGCCTCACTGTGTAGATGCGCGTGCGGCCCGCGATGCCGTCCGTCGCCCGCTCCAGGTCCATGCAAGCCTGCGCCGTCACGAAGGAGGGCGCTCCCATCTTCTCGAGCACCGCGATCAGGCGGGGCCTTCACCGAGCCCACTCCTGCACCTCCAGCACGCGACGGCTGTCCTGGACAACCGCGCGGCACCTCCGCGCCAAGCGAATCCCCGCCATCGTACTGTCCCCCGACGGTGGTGGGGCCTCTGACGCGTCTTGTCGTCCGTCAGCCGAAGGCACGCCGCGGCGTCCTCCAGCCCAGCCCGTCAGGGCAGCCGTTGCACGCCATTTGGCGTTTTTGCACGGGTTCCTCGGCCACGGCCTGGTTCACGTTTCCCCTCAACGGCCGCTGTTACTTCCACGCGGGTTCCCTCGAACTCGGCCGAAGATCTCATACTCTCGTATCACCTTGCTGACCCGCCGCCGCGCGGCATCGTGGGCGCACGGCTCAAATGCCAGCATGTTCGCCCAAGCCAACATCGACCGACCGCCTCAGCCCAAATGGCCACAAGCATCGGGCATAATGAGAAGGTACACGTTCGTTTTGGCACAAGGGGCGGAATCATTCAGGAAACCTTCGGCAACCTAGAAATTCGCAGTCATGTATTAGGACTCTGTGAGGAAACCTAGAAAATCCCTCCGGACCTCTCAGGCATCCTGGAAGAAACCACCGTAACCCATAGGAGTCCGAAGGAATCCTTCTTAGAATCTTCGGACCTTCTTGAGATCCTCAGTCCAATTGCCAATCTTGGGGTGGGGGCCTACGGCGTCGCGTCGCGTCGCAGGGGGGGGCGCATGGGGCCGCACTGCGAGTTTGCATCAATAGCAACAACAAACACCACACAACAAACAACAAACGAGAATCATCCGGGCCGCTGAATCCCACTTCAGCCACCAACGCTGACACCCCTCTCCTCCGTCCAAGAGGCCTCCTACATGGGGTACAAGTACATGGGGTACACATGGGATCGCGCCGCATCGCCGATGCATCGCCGATGAAGCGGCGATGCATGGTCAACGTCGGCGATGTATCGGTGAGGTCGAGGTTGGAATATCAAGATCCTTCGACCCCATCTATTCCGACCCCATATGGGATGCATAGGCCCTAGACGTTATTTTTCGTCTCCCTTATCCCTCGTCCGTGCTCCTCCTCTGCCTTCCCCCTCTTCGCACATCCCACCTCTTCCATGCTCTATGCTCTCTCCTCCGTTCTTTTTCGGCTGTGCTTTGTGCTCCCCACCACCCCCTTTCCTCCTTCCTCCTCGTCCTCGATCTCGTCTGGTGCTCCTGCTCCTCCTCCACTCCCTGCCATCCCTCCTTCCTTTCACCCGGCTTCCTCTTCCTTCCTTCATCCATCACCCCCTCGCTCGGTTTCATTCGCCACCCCTTAGCGTCCACCTCCTTATCCTCCTCCCATTCGTCCTCATTTGTCGCCATCCTTCCGTTAAGTTAATCCCAATGCTCCTACTTCCCTCCCTTCCTCAGGATGTAGCCAAGCGTAGCCAACGCCCCTTGCGGATAAAGCGCTTGCCTGAAGAATCACGTGACAGGCCGCCCACCAAACGAAACGACACACTCCTGCTGGATACGGTGAGGTGAGACGTCCATCTAGGGAATTACATGCTGGGTTGGCTGTACGGAAAGACACGCAGGCCTCCCCTCGTGCTTCAAAAAGAAACAACGACGAACTGCCCAACCTCCTGATGACAACGACCCTTGGACCCCTGGGAGCCGCAATCAGCCCCGAACTGGCCCAGCCGTGAGCCAGTTGTCGGGCCGACGACTCTTGGCTTCAGACTCTATCGATCTCAGGGAGTAGGAATGATGCCCCCCCGAAGGGTGGATCATAATCTGGCCCGGCCTTGGCGGCGTAGCAAGGGTGCTGACGATCATCTCCGTAGATAGGGGGCCAGTGGGGGAGTGTCCTGCCGAGGCCGTCTTGGCCAACACCCACTCAACCCGAAACACAAAAATCTGGAATTTGGGGGCGGTTCTGGAAACTGTTCGAACGAGCGTGCCAGAACCACGCATATGGTTTTGCAATGAAGAAGAAGAGAAAGAAAGCGCCACCTCTCGACCGGAAAACATGTAACACTCATTCCTGATGAAAACGATGGCCCTGGGGAAGGGGCCGAGACGCCCGAAGCCCGCATCTCGAACAACAACGCCCCGCCGATTCTTTCTAGGAACGGCAAAGAGTCAGGAGATCGACGTGTGATCCAACACGTGCGGGAACCCGCAGACCATTGCTTGGCAAGCCTGAGCTGGATCGAAACGCGGAATCGCATCGGATCGGAGCCCGATCGGATCGCGCCTTCATCGGCGCCGAATCATATCGTGTGGGATCGCGCACCGGGGTCGGCACCTGACGGCCAGAGAAGGACGGGGTTCGTGTCGGATCGGATCGAGAACGGAATCAAAATTTGGGGATCGGATCGGATCGACTCGGGTCGTGAGCAACCCTGAGGAGGGCGACGCCGTCCGCTTGGGTAGGCATGGGGAGGCTGGGGCAC